TAATGTACAAAATGTATTGTGAAATGGTAAAAGTTGAGTCTCTAGAATTCGAAGATAAGTATTTGCATTGATTTTTTCTTTTTTTTCTTTATGTTCGTCGCAAAATATTAACGGTCCCTTTGTTTCTTCTGCGAAACATCACCAAACCATTACTGAGCATCGACCACTTTTGAAAGTGGCTAATAAGCACTTAGTATTAAATCTCTCACCCGTATTTCGCCATACTCTTATTTGTCGTGATTGTTTTCCAATCTCCACACTTGATTCATCCGAAAAAATGATCTTCCACCAATCGGAAGGGGTTTTTTTCTTATATCTAATAAAATTATAAAGAAAAAAATTACTATAAATACATGTGTGTAGTAATATTGTAAAGAAAAAAAAACCAAATAAAAGAAACAATCACGATAATACCAATTGAAGTAATTAATTATAAATTTCTGTTGGATACAATAGCAATGATAGCAGCGACCACAACAATTATTATATTCGTATGTCACTGCTGCTTTGTGGTTGTGGATGACTGTGACTGTTGCTGTTGCTGAAGCTGCTGCTGCATCAGTGTTATTTGCAGCGTGAGTTGTTGATCTAGTTGTTGGTGGCGTTGATCATATCATTGATCTTCTTGTTGTTGGTCATTCAGCAGCCAAAAATTTGTTGCTGTCGTTGCCAATTTACCAGCATCACGTTATCAACGTGTTGCAAAACTTGGACCTTGCATCTTTGAAGAGACTGTTCATGGCAGTGAAGTATCTTTTAGGACTGAGAAACCACATAAAATGTTGAGCTGCGAATGATGAACTTCCTTGTTACTGCTTGCTAAGAGAGTTGACTGATTTAGAAATGGAGATGCCAGTTGACTTGGAGGATTTGAAAGAAGTAGTAGTCGGACCTCTTTGATTTCTTTGTTTGTGGTTGTGGTTATTGTGGTTGTGATTATTTGAAAGTAAAAAATGTTTCTACTTATGTTATCATAAATTTATTTTGCTCTGAGTTAGCTTCCATCAAATTTTCGATTTTATCTTTTAAATTTCTGTAAAGAAAATGATATAAGATAAAAATTTAATATATTTATCAAATTGGAAGGTCATATTTTAATTTTCTTTTGGTATATGATTTAAAAGAAGTTGATTAAAAAACATTGAAAGAAAAAAAATAACATTTTATATATGAGAATCACGTTAATTTGTTTACATGTATAGCGATAGGGATCGGTTAATGCGTAGTCCATGTCCAATAGGGTGCGCAAATTTTTTGATCAACCCGGCAAAACAAATCCGACACAAAAGATATGAATATTTCTCGAAAACCAATGCTTAACGTTAAATCTGTCTTGAAAAATTGTTGGGACTGCAATTTTACATATAATATTGCCCGCTGACCTAACCCTTAACCGTTACCCTTACCCAGACCTTATAAATCATAAAAATCATTAAAAGTTTAAAAGTAAACTCTGAAAATTTAAGGGGATTGATCACTTGATGGACTACACTTTAACCGTTCTCCATGTTATAGAATGGCGATCTGAAGATTATGATGTGATGGTGATCATGGTTGTGTCATGTAATAGGATTTCATATATGGGATATTTGGTTTCCAATATCTCGAGACCCAGTAGCGAAAATCAAATGTGAAGCTTACCATTCGATTCAGCAGAATATATGGAATCGAATGGTATGCCTTATACTTGACTCCCTCCACCGGGTCTTGAGATATTAAGCCTCAAAGTAGAATTTTGATAGTGAACGTTTTATTGCACAATCTCTTTGGAGCTCAATAACTCGAAATTCAATGACGGAAATTGAATATGAAGCCCACCACTCGATTTAGCAGAACCCAAGGGATCGAATGGCGGGCTTCGTATTGGCTCCCCTCGAGATATTGAGCTCCAAAGAGCCCATACATGAAATTATTCATGGTGAAAATTGGCAATGCACCATGATGATCATAAAATCCGGCAATTTCCTATTGCGTCATGGGGTACCCTATTAAAAACTTAATTCGAATAATTGAAATTGAGTATAATTATTATACGATCGCTAGTCAACTCTCGACCCTTTGGTTAGAGGGTTATCTTTACGTTTTTTTATTGAGAATTTTTCTTAAATTGCAGCTTTGAGATTCAATCATGGGTAAGTATTCATTTAGCATGAGATACCATCATGGTAGCAGTTTATTTTGTTTTTCCTTACATAATATAATAGCATTTATCTTGCAGCAGCTAAAAGACACATGTTTTCTTAATTGAAATAATTTTAAATCAACCATCAAATTTTCCTGACCTGATATTTGGTATTGCTTTTGTCAGACTAGATTATTTGTCGCCAACTGTCCAATCTTTGCCCAAGCAAAGTTGGCGTTTTCTTTGTGAGTACTTTTTGCGTTTATTCTGGCAGATAATCCATGTCTTCTAAGTATGCGTCATACACTTTCCACAAATTGACTCCTAAGTCTGTGTAGAACTTCGACGGCAGTAGAACATTCTCCGGATGTTATCATTCTGACAGCATTTCATTCATATCGACCTGAAAGAGTGCATGGACGGTCAGGTTTCGGTTTATTTACTTGTTCCGATGCTACGATTTCTTGGACCGTGTATCCTTCTTGGCGGAGTGTGTATATGCGGCTTTTAAAAGCTTTACGTCCGCTGTCGAATTCGGTCATATAATATCGTACTCAAAAATTTTTATTGTTTTTTATTTTGATCGCATCGAATTATAAAAACTGTCGCTAATACTACTTTAAATGCAATTTAGTTTTTTCTGACTGTGGACAATTCTTCAATGGCGAGATACTTGAATTTCGCCATTTTTTTCTGTGTCCAGTTTCAAATGTGAGCCACTGTATTACGATTTCGGGATTTCGCACGCTACCGAAATATAGATTAAAATCTTTATTTAATATAAAAGGAAAATTTTGTATATTACCCATATTTACTCATAAATTCGGATAATTTATTATAAGAATATGTAAATAAATATAGCAATTACTAATTAAACTTTTTATAATTCCCTTTAAATTTTGGATAATTGATGAATAAAATAACATTAGGGTTATAAAATTAAAACTCAATTTACAAGATTTGTTACAAGAAAATTAAAAATAGATACCTCTATAAACTTTATATCAAGCATTAATGTTTTTTATTAAACATATCCTCCCAAAATTACTCGTGTAAAAATTTATTTATCACAAGCTTTTTATTGTTTATAATTGAAAATTTTAAAAAACAGATTGGCATTTGATTATTCTTATTTAAAAAAGAATATTAGTTCTAGAATATCATTATTCGCACATAGAACACGCCACAAAACGGCAAAAGAAAATTCTCATTGTCTCAAGATTTTGTTTATAGCAGGTCGAAATGAGAACAAATAAAATTTATACTTCAATTCGACATTACGTATTTATTACACAAATATATACGGCCGCTTTTATATTTATCGGTTATTAAACACGACATCAAATCGGACCATATATATTCATCAAGTGCTTAATGCCAATTACCAAATAAAGGCTTTTGATGACCAAAGTATGGTTTCGCTAAAAATTCTTTATACTACAAATAAAAAAATCCAATATTAATATGTACATACGCATTATTCTCACTTTCACTTCCGTCTCTCCTTCGTTCTACCTTTTCTTTTCTATCTTCTCTAGACTTTTGTGACTTTTGTTTTTTAGTTTATAGATTCATTATATAACACTGATAATACAAATAGTCACATATTACCTACCCACACTCATTCTCACATAGCATACATTAATACCGAACATTAAATTCTTTCTTTCCCTTCTTTCCTTTTAGTCTCTTTAACAGAGCAAAAAATCCATATAGCTAGAGAAGTTAAAATAGACAAAATAAAATGAAATTTCAAAACCAACCTTTAATATGTGCAGTGACAACAGCGTTGTTACTGTTATCAGCTACAACACCAGAAGTGACCGCCCAAAAATCATGGTGCGGTAAACCATATGTCCCGAGAAAACAAGCTCGAGACTTTTCCCCCAATCTCTCACCTTATAAGAGAAATCCATTTTTACCACGAGATCTTCTCGAAAGAGATGCTACGACGTCGAATGCCACTACTTCAGCTTCTGGAAATTCTGGAACGATCGTTTTACCCGTGCAAAACAATCCACTTCCTACTGTTCCAGACTTGGCAAAAGGGTATGCAGCGATGGCTAGATTCCAACCGTATCTTGACTCGGATTCGAATGGTTCAATTGTGCTGAATGTGGTAAATCCGAATGGACCTATTTCTGTGCAAATTGCAAATGAAGATGGAAGTGAACTGCTGGCAAAAACTTCTGTTAATGTTAAAGATATGGCTGTGGAAGTGCCATTCCCGATTAGTAAATTGGCACCGAGAACGAATGCTTATAATTTGAAAGTGTCTATATTTTCAGGAAGTGGAAGTTCCCCAGCCTCGCAAATTATTGTCAAGTTATATCGTCTTCCTTCTGGTACGTTTTAAATGCACATTCACGTATCAGCAATACTTGAGAGCGCATATACTCACAATCTTTACCTTTTATAGGTCAAAAAACTGTCAAGATTGACCGTCTTTATGGTGGAATAATTACCGCTACAGGCGATACCATCTTCCCAGTTGGACCATATGTTGACTTTGGTTGGTTGGGTGGCGGTGCCGGTGTTGCCGCTAATCTAAAGACACTCAAAGGACTTGGTTACAATGTCATCAACCCCGATCCAACCTATACCGATCTTTCGGTAGTTGATCAAATGTTCCAAGCAGCCGACCAACTTGGCGGAATTTATATTCAACTCTCATTCCGTTATTCATTCACTAATATCCAACAAGTCGTGTCGCAAGTGAATCAATTCAAGAAATATAACAGTTTGCTGACTTGGTATACTGTAAGTATTTTTATGACTGAACCTTTATAATTGAAATGTTAATAAGGTAATATATTAAGAATTTTTTTTTCAATAGGCTGATGAGCCCGATGGTGAACAATGGACTGATAGTTCAGCTGAATTGAAAGCTTATAATGCTATTAAAGCCGCTGATCCATACCATCCAGTTGCACTCGTACTTAATTGTGAGCACACTGCGGCATTCTACGCTGATACCACCGATATCTTATCAACTGGTATGTGTCAATTTAATCTATCATAGACTTGAAAAATTTAAATTATTTATTAAAAATAAATTGATTTTTTTTAGATGTTTACCCAATTGGTGTTGATATGTCACATTGTACTCCAACCAACGATGTGTGCGGTTGTGACAATTGTCTTGGTAGTGCAACGCTTGATGTACCCCAACGTACAGGTGTATTCATGAAAGATTTAACTCTTATTGGTCGGCAATCAATTAATCAATGGATGGTATTACAAGCTTTCTCTGATCCTCCAACATGGTGGTCAAGAATGCCAACTGTCCAAGAATTCCGAGTAATGTCTTATATTTCTATAATCTACGGCTACAAATCAATCATGTTCTGGAAATATCCATTCACCCCCGACAACTCGCTACAAGCCCAAATCACCCAATTATCAGGTGAAACAAAAGCTCTCATCCCATACATCCTTCAATCACAACAACTTCCCTCTTCGCATCTAACAATCAACAACAACAACACTTACGCTGGCGCATGGCTCTCTAAGGATGGTAAAAGTTTGTTGTTGATTGTAGTGAATGGCGATGCCTCGAACAAAGACAGTTTCAATGTCGCTGTTAAAGATTTGCAAGGTTCTGGTTCGATGCAAGGCAATGGAACTACCGATTCTGCTGGTAAATCAACTGTCACCATGCAAAATGGCGCTTTGTCTGGTAATTTGAATGCCTATGAAGTGGGCGTCTATACTTTCGGTAATCTACCTGCAAATATTGCCACCAATTCCACCAGTTCGAATGGAGGATCCGGGTCCGGGTCAGGATCCGGATCGGACTTGTCAAGCGATTCAACTGCTACTGCTAGTCAAGCTAATTCAACATCGTCTGCTTCGTCTTCGGTTAGTCATCCTTTTGCTGCATATATTATTGTTGGACTTGGAATATTCTCATCTTTATTGTAAAATTGACATCATTTTTTTTAAATTGCATACTTCAATCAGTAAATACATTAATAGTAATATAATTTTTAGATATATAGTTGTAACAAGTGTAATAACAATCAAATTACGATTAATGCTTATCATTATTTAGCATATCCGCAAATAAAAATTGTGACTAATTTGGTCTCAAAAAGATATTCCGTCTATGCACTCATGCTGTGCAGACAATTTCACATGATCCCCCAAGGGATGGGGCAACTGCATTTACTATGTTCGACTTGGAAAAGTGCCCTTGAAAAATTGTATAACGATAATTTCTCTTTCGCTCTCACTCTTTAATGAGTAATTATTCGATTATATGTATATGGATGCGAAGCAACAGCATTGAGCTAATCTTCCCAAACATTAAACGTTATTATTAAGCTAATTGGCTGTTTATTCACAATATGAATACATATGCTGCTGTTCTGCACGTTTATTTAAAAGTCTAGCGAAACGGGAATGAATAGATAAAACAATTACAAGTACATGTACATGTAATAGAAACTGCATCAAGAGTGCTATTGAAATTTTACATGCATTTAGGTGGATGTTTTCTCTTTATGTATAAAAGCTTTAAATTTTTCGCTTATCTGTCAAAAACACAAATAACGAATTCATAATAAAATATCAATGCCATTTGATGGATTTCGGGATAAAAAATTCACAAGTTGAAACCCTAAGAAATACTAATGACGTTAATCATAATAGTAGTAATACAAACAATAAGATTAATCTACATGAATCAGTGGTGGTAAAAGATGTGAAATCCGCATTGGTAACCAATAGAAAAATACAACGAAAACTTCATGATCAACGTCAGTTAGATTCGCTTACATCTGAGGCCCCAAAAGGGATTACGGCGACACATAATTTTAAACGCGCTATTCAGCTTACAAAAGAGAAGGTTACAAAGGTCAGTTCAATGAATACACTAAACATTCCGATGAAAATTTACAAATTAACAGAGCCTTGTGCTAAAATTCAGATTGCGGAAGAATGCCGCAAGTTCAACATTCGATTTCGTGATATTGAGTTCGATATCAGCAATACAGATGCATCTCTGTACAATAGTCACGATCCGGAAAAGGACTATAGCAAACGCATAACCGATTGTAAAAGAATAAACAAAATTTTTGAGGATCCCAAGTTTTTCTCAAAGAGTGTTGATGCGGATGATATAGAACAAGGAGGAGTATGTATATTGAATCATAAACGGTCATAGGAATTCTTTAACAAGGGAAATTTTTTAATTGAATAACAGATTGGTGACTGTTGGTTCTTGTCATCGGTATCTACGTGCTCTAATATTCCGGGGTTAATCGAAACAATATGTGTATCACGTGACGAAGAAGTTGGAGTAATTATTTTTCTTATCAGTCTTTTATAAATTTGCTTGTACTTCCTCTAAATTGATATTATTTCTTCAGGTCTACGGATTTATCTTCTTCAAAGTATGTAACGATAAAAATTAAATTTCCAAATTTTTGAATTAATTTACCTCCCTTTTTTTTTTAGGATGGTGATTGGATCTCTACAGTAGTCGATGACCAATTATACACACACATCGACCCTGAGACTAAAAAAGAAATACTAACTTTTGGGTATGCAAATTTTTTAGTTATCTATTTTAATTAATGATTAATTTTTTCGTGCGAATAGACGTTGCAAAGATCACACTTCAACTTGGTTACCATTACTCGAAAAGGCCTACGCGAAAATACATGGTGACTATGAGAACATCGATCTCGGATCAATAGGACATGGTAATGTTTGTAATGTTTGGATGCACGTAATTTCACTTAAATAAATTCTAATCGTAAATGCTATAAAAAAAAATCAATAAATAAAGGTTTAGAAGATCTGACTGGAGGAGTTGCCAACATATACTCGACAATAGATATTCTCGATACCGAGCGTTTCTGGAATGAGACAATTTTAACCTTAAACAAAACGGCTGTTTTGGGTGCTGGACATTCAGCTAATTGGACTCCCGATCCTGAAGGTTTAGTTGATAATCATGCGTATAGTATATTAGAAGCTAGAGAATTAAATGGAGTGAAGCTTTTGAAAATTCGAAATCCGTATGGAGGATTCCCTGAATGGACAGGTTTTTAAAATAACGAATTTTCTCTTTAGTGCACGTTTGAATTTATAGCTTTATTAGCTTTAATATAATATTTGACTGTTTTTCATGTTAAAGGTGCTTGGAGTGACGGAAGTGAGCAATGGACACCAGAGAACTTGGCAGCATTAAATCATAAATTCGGCCTCGACGGCGTATTTTGGATGGCATACGAAGACTTTCTCACATTTTTCGCTTTCCTTTTCAAGTGCCAAATTTTCGATTCTTCATGGAATGTGTATTCTGCGTGGATAAATTATAATGTTAAACCGAAATCGGATGGGAAATTCAGGTTTACATTGAAAGAACGTGCCAAAGTTATAATTGTACTTCAGCAGCCTGATTCTCGATATTTTCATGAGCCACCAAAATTCCTGTGAGTTCTTTTATTTTTATTTTAATAAATGAATTGCCGTCAAATGCAAAATCTAATAATTCAGACCAATTAACTTGTTATTGTAGATATAATCTTAATTTTAGAATAATGGACACCACAGAACAAAAATTCATAATACGCAATCCATACACCATTACGGGATTTGCTTTCGACCGAAGCACAAACGCAGAACTAGAACTCGATGCCGGCACATACGAAATATTACCACGTATAGAGGCAGTCGTGAATCCAGAAGCGTCTGAAATAGCCAATCGTCCAGTGCTAGCAGCATCAGTTCAACTCATCGACGCAAGAGCAAGACTCGCTAAAGGAACAAATGTTACAACATTAGACGGCGCAACTGTTCCGGAAACTGGAATGCCTGTTTTTGTTCCATCTACTTCTTCTCATACGCCATATATTGATCCCGAATTGGCAGCAAATAAAGATAGACGCGGGTTAAATTTGAAGGATGGCGTTGATGGAAATGATGATGGATATGACGAAGGCGATGAGAATCAACAACACATTCAGAAAAATCGATGGGATTTGAAATTGGGATTGAGATTGTACACCCAAAGCGATGGTGTGGTGTTTAGTGCGCATCAGGGAGAGTATCCTGTAAATTCTAGTGTTAATGAGTTTGAAAGTTTCTACGTTTGAAATAGTGAGGCTTTCAGAATAAATAACTACAAATATGAATAACATTGATTGACTAAACTGATCAAAAAATATTTATTCCATCAGTTTGAATGTTTCAACTTTTGATAAACAAGAATCATTAGTTCAAGCTGAAAACGAATTAAAATCGTTTGATCTAGAATTTGGGAGAAATTTTGTCCGCAATTCAAAATTTTCATTTTTATGTCACGGTTAGTGTTGGGTTTGTGGTGAACAGTTATACATCTTAAAAACGGAATATGTATTATGTAAAATGATATCAACAACTCTATAATAAATTGCTAAAATGAAGCAGCTATTGGAACTCGTGAATTTCACGTATAAGAATAAGATCAATCCAATAATTTTAATTTCATACTTTTCGACTCCTTCAAGTTTTTCGATGTAACTGCAGCGCTAGACAAGGTGGCATAAATAGTGAATTTGTTGAATAATACCATCATAAATTAGCCAATGAAAAATCAAGAAAAAACCAAATGGGACACACGTGAATTTTTGAAATCAGTTAACGTGATCATTTTTAATTAAAAATGAGAAAAAATTTTTTGCTATTATATATACCTTAACCCTAGAGTGAACAAAAAAGTCAGAAATAATGGTCACGAACGAGCAGCAGAGTTATTGAGTTATCGAGTTATTTGATTTCGAAAAATGACATCGATATTATGATTGACAATTTTTTTGCGTGGATGAGGAGGGTTTTCTATATTAGAAAAAATATTCTGACTAATTTATATTTTTATACTTAATACTAAAACAAAAAACGCATCTTTGTCCTTTATTAAATTTACTATCATAAATTAGAGTAAGGTGCCTATCAATGTTGTTGAGTTTTTCTTGATTTGTTTTTACATGTATTCTTAGAATTAGTTTATGAACCCATAATTTCATTAGATGAAAATATATAGACCTATGAACTCTTTTGTCCTAACGAATTATTATCTAAGGAAGCTAAGTTTTCGTAAATAGAAACCATTTTTCCCAACATAAAGTTCATCATCGATACCGCGTATACATGCACCTCAATAAATAATGTACAAAGGTATCCGAAGTTTTTATTTTATTTTATAATTCAATTTTATGCATGAATTATATCTCGTGGGACATCCTCAACTCGTTCAAAAAATCAATGTACACGTTTGCTGGAAATTGATTATTTCTTTGTGTAAGCTCGTGGAGATTTTTTGGAAGTATAAACTTCAAGTCATCTTCCTTTGATTATTTGGTCAAAGTTGATTGATGGTGTCAGTATTTTGTTTTGATGTTGTGCTATTTGTTCATGGTAATTGTTTTGCTCAATAAAATCAAAAATCCAAATACGTTACTAAAGTTGAAGAATATATAGAAATGCTTGATAAACAATTTCCTTTAATGAGGCTGATAAAATGGTAATTGTCATTTTGCAATCCTGTATTTAGAGTATAGCGCCAATGAGCGAACGAAGGTGGAGGTACAGTAACTATACAAACTAAATCAAAAAATAAATAAAAAATCTAAAATTAGTAAATGAAAATTTTAAACTATTTACAAACTTGAATTTAACATTAATAATTCGAAGGAGTCGTCATCAATTCTACTATTTTCATGATTTTGAAGCTGGTATATCATTTAGTGATAAAGAACGAGCTCTTTGTTCGAAGTTGCCTGTGAACAATAATTTGCAAAGGAGGAATATCTAATGTTGAATACTATTGCGAAAATCAAAATTTTTTTGAATTTCATTAATTGTGATTATCCTTCCCGATAATGTTGTTGTTATTAGCGTGCTGATACTAAGGCAACCCCGTTAAACCGAAGTCATCCGTACCATCATTTTTCTTCGGTTTAACGAGATCTTCGGATTAGCGAAAAAAATTTTTAAACCGAAGATAATAATAAAATATCAACCATAGTCGGATTAAGAGGGTAGGGTAAACACATCTATTAATTTTATTTTTTATGCAAAATACATGTCAATTGTGGTTTGTTTTTTAGATGCGATATTTGCTTTGTGGATTTTTTTCTTAAAGTTTTTTAACTCATAATAAAAATCTTCACTAATATCCATTCCCTCTTTCTTTTGTCCCAAAAAAACATCAAATTATCAATCGATTTTATAGCTTTACTAAATGTTACCATGTGTTGAATTTCTTCCTCTTCTTCAATTTCTTTACCTTGAGCCAAGTTGATAATCTCTTCATCACTTAATACAATTTCACTTTGTAGCATGGTATCAATAGTTAAAAAATTATCTGGATCATCAAGGAAATCGGTCAATTAACTCTTGAATAATATTTCTTCATTTTCTTTGAATCGAAAATTACTTGTCATTCGAATATTGGCAAAATACCCGTTTTTAACCAGCAGGATTTAACTGTGTTGGATCTTACTTGTTGCCAGGCTTGTGATGTAAGAAGAATTGCATAAAGTATAGAAAGTTGAGTTATAGATTCTCCTGTTATGATAAATTCATCATAGGCTTCAATTCTATCTTCACATAGAAATTGACGCTATTGAAAAATAACCAATATTTTATAAAAATATAATATAAAAAAAAATTACTTTAAAAGAGTGAATTATTCCTGCATCACAAGGTTGCATATAGACTATCATATTTGGTGGAAAATAATGGGAATGAAACATTTAAAATGAAACTCCTTTATCCAAAGAATGTGATGTTGCATTATCCAGTAATAGCAAAATAGGACACTTTGCTTTTCACATATCATTATTGAGCTTTGTAAGCCAGTGAACAAAAATAGAACATTGCATCCAAGCATTAATAATAATAAACAGGTAAACTGTCTTTATTAATATTTCACATGCATCTTGAATTCTTATACTTGTGGATGAAAAGAGGCGTGAATTTTGATGTGCCTGTTGCATTACAAGTAAGCAAAACGGTAACCCGGTCTTTTGGTTTTTTTGTACCAGGAATTGAATTATGAGAAAGAGTTCTGGAAGGTTCTAGCTTCCAAAAAAGCCCAGTTTCATCGCAATTATATATTTCGTTAGGGCTCCATGTAGCTAAGAAACTTTGAAGTTCATTGTGATATTGTAGAAGTTTTTCTAGAGATGCTGAATTAGCCTCACCACAACGAATATATTCACAAACATTATAGCACTTTTAAACTGGTTAAACCACCCATTAATACCCTTGAGATTTGATATATTTAAATGCTTTGCAAAAACTGCAGCTTTTTTGATGACAATATGCCCAGATAACGTATGATTATTCAAAGTTGCTTGATCAATCCAAAGAGCTAAAGATTGTTCGACAGGATACTTTATTGGCCTTTCCCGGGTCAATTTGGCAACATAATCATTAGGTTCGAGTGATAGATAATGTGCATTTTTTTTGAAATGTCCGAAATTGTTGCTTCCCTGATACCAAACTGTGTAGCTAACTTGGAGTTTCTTACATTTGGACTTGCATCTTTGAGTTTACATAACTCGATTTTTTTTGCAAGCGTAATAGACGTATGCTTTCTCTTGGAATCTGTCTTTTCCTTGCCAGAGATTTTTTGGCGCTTGTTTTTGTTCCCTTGGTCGGGACAGCCGAATTCTCAGCACCTTCATTTTCCATTTCCGTCTCATGTTCGGGATTGCGAAGAAAAAAAGGAAAAAAGACACTAATAAGCTTGTGTCTTAGGCAAGAGCAAAAGAACAAGGAAAAAGACACTAATGATCGTGCGTCTTAGACATAACAAAAGAACAGGAAAAAAGAACGTGAAACGGGGTAATTTTTTATTTGTGGATCTCGGTACGGTTTATAGAGTATTTAATTAGTATTTAATATTAAACCAGGGTAATATATATAGGTCCGGAAACGTACATTGTGAAATCATCGGTTTAACGAGGTATTCGGTTTGGCGGGGTTCGTTTTAACGGGGTTACCTTAATATATCGCGTTTCTCCGACATTACTTGCTAAAGTATCAATTTAGATATTGCACGGCACGGTATAATATAAATTTTCAATCAAAATAAACTTTAGATAAAAATTTGAATAAAAAATACCCTCTTCTGGTAACTGGTACCCATGCACCTTTATTCTGTCCAAAAATTATTTTATAAAGTTAATCATTATCTGAACTAGAGAGACTAGTTTTCTACAACTGCAGAATTTGCAGAATCCGTATGGTTTATACGAAATTTTACATGATCAAAAAATATTTAATTATAAAGTCAAAAGAATCTCTTGATTTTAAAACCTGATTTAAAAAAAAATAAATTCGGTAACTTTAGGACGCGATTTCTCGACATCCAATGGTCCAATCTGGACAAAAAATAGAACCATTAGTTTCATCGAAACTAGACAAATCGATTAGTTTTATTTTTTTCAAATCGGACAATTGGATGTAGAGATATCGCGTCCCAAAGTCACCGAGTTTTTTTAGATTTGATCATGGATCTAATTACAGAAATCAACTTCATCTTGGATTAAAAAGTTAATTTTTGATTTTATTTCAAAATTATCCTCTTAAAAGTCCAAATTCCAAAATGTATTAATGCAACGCAAACTGAATACTTTTCATTGTCAAATCCAATCTTTTATATTTTTCATCTTGATGATTATGATTGTATTCATTAAAAAAAGATTAAGGATTTATTTCTGTAGAGGCATCATCATTATATAGAAATGCTGCACGAATTTCAGTTGGCATTCATGTCGGATGTGATAACTTGGGTTTAGACGTATTTGCAGGTAATGGTAGCCTGCTATCGTTATTTTCGATATTCGTTTTGAATTATTTATTATAGTATTAATAGTATTATTTACAAACATTTGAGTTTGACGTAATAACGGCGATGATGACTCCGCGGCCGCAACAAATGAGGACAATGTGTTTTTTCTGAAAAAATTCATATTATTTCGTCACATTTCCTTAATTTTCTCCTTCATTTTTATAACTTCCAGATAGCTCTGAATTGCTTCTCCGTTTCCTAGACGTCTTTCCGTTTGATATAACGTGATACCTTTCAAATAGTGCTCGAATTATTTGTCAACGCCTAATTTTGTATAATTTACATTTCCGAAAATTTGTTGATCGAACTTGGCGAACGTCACACATGTTTCTGATCATTTCCCTTACAGTATATTAAAAATTTTTGATCGACAAAATTCAGTGTTGCACTTTGTTAACGTTTACTTGAGAAAAGAATTATCATTAAAATTAACCGAATAAAAAATGACCCCTGACTTGTTATTGAGTTCGCACTCAAACAGACTTGATGAATTTTATAAAAATTCCAACTATTGTGATATTTCGATTATTGTTGGTGAAAACCAAGGTACCCTTCGTACTTTTTCAGCCCACTCGACAATCTTGATGGCGCAATCGCATTATTTTGCGGTAGCACTTGCTGATGCTTGGGTGAGGCGCGAACCAAATAAAATGATTATCTTTAAGAAACCGAATATCGAACCTCGAGTCTTTGAATTATTGCTAAGGTAATTTCATGTTAAAAATGAACAACACTACTAACTAAATGTAAATTTGAAAATTTGGCTGACCAACTGATTTAAATTTAATAGATATATTTATAGTGGAAAAATCGATTTACAAGATCACGGTGTTTCGATACTTTTAGATTTATTAATTGCGGCCGATGAAATGATTCTTGAGGATCTAATTGAATATATTCAAATTTATCTTCTTAAACACCATTCTGAATCTTTGATAGAACGTTTTACCACCGTTAATCAAATCGCATTCGAGCATAATTCTTTTATCAATCTTCAAAAATTTTGCACGGACATCGCATGTCAAAATCCAGCCGCTATTTTTCAATCAACTGATTTTACCAAGCTACGCGAATCAGCTCTAATTTCTTTACTTAAACGTGACGATCTAAATTTGAATGAAATCGACCTTTGGGAAAAGGTGCTTGAATGGGGGATCTCTCAAGCCGCTGATGCAAGCGAAAATAATTTGGTGATTCCACTGGAAAATTGGACACATAGCGAATTTAAACAACTTAAATCGAATCTCGAAAATTGTTTACCATTGATTCGTTTCTTCCACATCAATTCGGTTGATTTTTATAACAAAGTCATGCCATATGCTGAAATTTTGCCAGGATCACTATATAAGGATTTATTGCATCATTATTTGGTACCAGGAAGCGAAGAACAAAAGGCTACCTTACATCCAGTTCGCAAACTCACAAATATCGACTCTTTAATTCTTTCGCAGAACCAGATCTCTAAAATAATCAACTGGGTTAAAGAGCAAGATGACAGTCAGGAAAAAAAATCAATCGAATTGAAATTGTTACTGCGAGGTAGTCGTGATGGATTTAAGAATACTGACTTTCATCGCCTGTGTGATAATAAAGGTTCAACAATTGTTGCCATTCGTGTAAAAGATGAAGAAAAGATTATTGGTGGTTATAATCCGTTCGAGTGGAATTCTCTTGAAATATGTTATAACAAACCAAATAGTTTTTTATATAAATTTGATTCTGAAGATATTCAAGCTATCAATGGATTTTTAAGCAAATATAAAAACGACGACAGTGTGGGGTGTTTTGCAGCTCATGGACCGATCTTTGGAAATGGTTGTGATTTAGTCCTATACAATACTGATTTTAATAATTCTAATGAAAATTACTGTAAAAAATTTTCCTACGAACATGGTTTGTTGAGCTCTAATGAACAAAAGAATTTTACAGTCGCGGATTATGAAGTATTTCAAGTTGTATCAAAATAAATTGATATTTTTTTAAGAAATTTAGTTTATTATGATAATTTATATATTTGTACATAAAGATTAAATGCATCTACAAAGATTTCTTAAGCTTATGCTCAAAAATTTGATACTAATTAAATGTATCTGAATACAGTGGCTTCCATAATTATGGAATCACTTGAACGAAATTTTTTAAATTAAAATATTTTATTAACCAATAATGCAATAGCCACAAAATTTTAAATTTAGTAAGTTACAACAAAATTATTAAAAAAAATTATAATTTTTCTTAAATATTTTATTAATCACAATTTATTCCTCAAATCTGTGATTTTATCATTTTGTTATTTCATATTAATCATTAATTATTAGTATTTAACTTGACATCACATATATAAAATAAAAAATTACTTGTAGTACCAAAGAGTGACAAGACAAGAATATTTATACTCACTCACTAAAATTAAGAAAACTGTATATTTCATTATATTTCATTATATTGCTAATAAATATTATATAATAATTATAGATATTAAAAAAATTCTAAGTATAAATAATATTAATATTAGTATCAACATAATTTGTCATACTCTTACTAAACATGATCTTAAAGTATATATTAAAAGAAAAAAATTATTACTTCAAAAAAAATATTATAAAGCTTATTTAATCTTTATAAAAATTATCAAAATTGATTTATTAATAACTAAAAAAAGATAATCTGATCAGATAAAAACAAATTTCAGTTATTTGAATTGGATAATAAATAATATTATTAATATTATGATGAAAAGATATTAAAAGATAAATTTATAAAGTCAATAATAAAATTTAGTAATGAAATATAATAGTATAAAATTATTTTACTTAAAATAGAATTAAAAATCTTTGCAAAATTGATAATAATATATATATAACTTTATAAATAAATTTTATCTGAGAATCTTTTAGAAATAATTAATAATTATAATCTTGAAAAATCTGGCTTATGGAAAATAAAATCAATATTCTCAAGTAATTTATTCAACCTTCAAATCTTAATTCTATTAAATACTTATGAAATAAAGTAGATAGACAATTATATTATTAAATATAAATTTTTAGTAAAGAATTATTATATTTGAAAGAAGATCAAAGTTGAAATTTGTTATAAGATAATTAAGAATTTGTAATATAATTCATACTAAGAAGAGGAAATATATTAGATAATGAATTTTGTTTGTGAGAATATTTATAAATAAATTTACTTTTTATTCAAATTTACATTATTATCAAATTGATTGTTATTATATAGCAAAATTATGAAATCAAATAAATTTTATTAAATTAAAAACTTTAAAATTAATCAAATTTTAATCTAAATAATCATTTATATTTAGTTTAATTTGTGAAATTTATCATGATTGTGTTAGTGGATAAAAAGTTTGAATTTAAAAATTTTGTTCAAGTAATTTCATAATTATGGGAGTCATTATATATTAATATATGTATTGCCATTCTAGAAAATCAAATGATCTATATAAATACAAGTATTTTTAATTAGTGAAATTTCAAGTTTGTTATCAGTAAGGGTTGAAAATGATTTATCTAATAAAAATTGTTCTTCTTTAACTTCATATTAATTTTCAGCTAAATTGGTATCAAATTCGTTTAGTTATTAGTTCTCGAGATATCAGATCAATGCTAGTAAAGAGATGGTTACATTATATTCACTAGCATTTAATTCGGTACTTCGGGGATCTAATAACTAAACCCAATTTAATGAAAATTTATATTAAATGATAACAAAACCGTATGTATTCATATAAACCATTTAACATATTTTTAAATGAGTATAGAAACCAGATACATATACATATCAATGCCTAAGGCCTTTTCATAAAACTTTTCTCTTTTCATTTCTTTTCGACTGGTATAAACTACATTTGAATGAATTTGTTGTTTTTTGTTCAAATTTTTAATTTCATCTTCTCATTAGCTTTTTTTCATTTCCGTCTCTCTAATTCTTTAATTTTTCATGTATTTTAGGATATTCTAAAGAGCTGTAATATAAAAATGAAAAAATTCAATGTATTTATGCATCCATTTCTGATAGATTCGATCAAGTCAACAAGTTCTTTAGCAGGTGGTCTATTTTCTGGAATAGGATCCCAATATTTTTCAACAGTAAAATTGTACCATCCGGAAATAGTATTTAATATCATAGATCGTTATCGTGACTTCGCTTACCAAATGGTTGTTCACTTATTACAATTTCGTATACAATCATAAATCTGCAGTGATAGTGTATTATTTTCCATTCAGCCCCTCTGACTCATAAAAGAAGCACTCTACAAATTTCTTGCTTCGATTTTTCTATATTTGTTGGAATGCTAAGTCCAAAATCAGCAATTTGAGGAAAGTTCAACATAATTTAATATATTTCTAGGATGAAAGTCAAGATGCACGGATTTCTTTTTGTGAAGGTTTAGGATATCCCTTAAATAACTTTTGATCACAAGTCAATTTTTCGTATGTATGTTACCTGTATCGGTTGGGATTGATATTAATTTTGAAGTAAAGATTCGACTGGGTGTAAATTGTATTTAAGTGAATTTGTTGTTTTTTGTTCGTATCTATAGGAAAGTTTTTTGCGATTACAAAGTTCTTCTAACTTTTGCCTTTCTAATTCAATGCACTCATAATTTTTTTATGTGTTTTAGGATATTCTAAAGAACTGTAATACTGAAAATGCAAAGTATTTGGTTTCCACCAGTTATTATTTGATATCATAGGTCGCACTCCTTTATAAATGTCAAATACGAAATGTATATCTTGACTTCGAACACCAAATGGTCTTTCGCTAGTTACAATTTCGTACACAATCATTCAAAAACTGCAGTGTTAGTGTATGTCTGTCTTTTCATTTAGCACCTCTGGACTCATATACTGTAAGGGAATACGCCGCAAATTTCTTTGTTAGATTTTTCTATATGCTAAGTCCGAAATCAATAATTTGAGTCATAAAATTTATTAATATATTTTCAGGATGAAAGTCACGATGTACAAAACTTTTCTTTGTGAATTTTATCATTGATAATCAAATACTGTATTTCATAGTTGGGATTAATATTTACGGAGATCACCATCTTCTGCATGAGTCATCACTATCGCTATTGAATATTCAATTTTAGCCGGGTTTTTAGTTATTCCGTAATATTTTATGAAACTATTTTCATTGCATTTAGGAGCAGCCTGAATCTATTTTTGAAAAATTTGATTGTATTAGAAACAAAAAAACTCTGGAATAATTTGATTTTAATTGTGTAATGTTTCAAGTTCTCCATATTGATTAAACTTATTTTCTTCATGATTCCACTTATTATCATTTTTAATCAATTGTCCATCCAACCAAGTTGCTTTATAAATTAATCCAAACCTCCTTTTGTAAAATATTCAACTTGGTAAATTTTTCAGAAGGAATCCATTCGAATATATTGCATATAAATTCGTTTGTGATATTTGAAACAGTCATCGCACTCCTCATAATTACTTTGACATCTAGAACATTTACTACAATCATGAGTATTGTGAACTAAACATCCATTGCAGTATCTATTCTTTTGACAATCAGTACATTCATTACAATGTTGAGTATTTGATTCCATCTTTGGGTTCACTTTATATTTATGAGGTTCACCATAAAATGCATAAGTCATTATTATCAAGTAATCGTTGTAATTGGATTTTTAGTTGTTCCATAATATGTTATCAAGTTGCCGTAATCATAGCATTAAAATAAAAGCAACTTTCACATTTTAGTTTACCTCGCGTATAAATTCCAGGGTAATTTGCTTTAATGATTTCAAACACAATTTTCCATTCTCCTCTTCGTATAAATTTATTTTCTTTATTGTATGATCCCACACTAGCTCCGATTTATTTTCTTCATCATTCTACCTACGCTCATTTATTGGTTCATCCAACCAGGTTGTTTTATAAATTGATCCAAAATCTCCTTTTGCAAGATATCCAACGTTGGTAAATCTTTAAAAGGGATCCATTCGAATATATTTGCATATTTGTAATTAATTTTGTTGTATTCTTTATTAGATTATCGATATCTTTATCTCCGCTAGTCAATTCATAGTTATAAACTCATTTATGATATTTGAAACAGAATTTCTTTTTTTTTACAATCAGTACAATCATGTGAACTAAACATTCATCACAATATTGATTGTATTGACAAAGTTGACATTCATTACAATGATGAGTATTCGATTCCATCTTTGAGTTCCGTGATAAAACAAACGAGAAAATCGTTTTCATTATACAGCGTTGTGTGTACAGTCTAGCTAACGACTCAACTTTGAGTTGCATCGACTTTATGATTCAGGGATCAAGTGATAATCAATCATATAACGATAAGCATTATTGTCATTGGACAGCTTTGGACAAAGTTTGGACAATTTTTTTAAATAAATTCTAATATGATAACTGGTTTGAACAATTAAATAAAAATGTTTAGAATTTAACCTGCATATAATCAGATAATCTTTAAATTTTTTTAAAATATACATATGAGCTATTGAATTTAACTGGATAACTTTGTTTAATGGTATACGTTCATGCTCTACCATACTATATTAATAATGATAACCTTTTTACAAATATTGAATTATGGTCTACGTATTTAATTAAGCATAAGAACCTTAAACAAATCTAGGATTACTTCGAGCATAATATTTGCAATTAGGTCTGTGATACTCATTATTATTTTTACGAATAGCATTATAATCGTCTAAACAACTACAAATAATAATAAAAAATTTCTATTAAAGAATTTAACTTTATAAAATAATTCTCGAAAGGATATATACTAATACGTTATATGATCACATCCATCAATCTTTTCAATATTAGTTTTACATTTAGGACATTGTTTTTCATAAAATCAATATAAGCTTTTGATTTTCTTTCGCTTGTCTATTCTCTTGCCGTCGTTGTTTGACCAGAATGATGCATTGTGGACAGTTTAATGAGTGAATAACTAAATAAAAATTAGAAATTTTCACTATTATCTTTAGTATTATCGTTTAATAGAATTAATTTAGCACATACCTCCTTCATAATGAATTTGGCCAGAATCACAATTTGGATTTAGGCACCAATGAAAGTCTTCCATTTGCGAAAGCACATGCAAAAGAGACAATCTTTGATATCTTTATAAATTATACATTCATAAAAATTTAATATTGAAGTGTTAATGTTAAATAGATTCTCGTTGAAAAATGTACCTTTCGAAGATCATTTTATTAACAAATTTTTTGACATATTCTTCAGTCATCATACATCTGCAATTTTCATCTGGAAATCTAATTTCAATGTTTCCTTTGTCTCTCAACTCGTGCTCAATATAATTTACAACAAAATCTTGGCAGATATTGTTCTCATGCTGATAATTTATTGAAAATTGAAATAATTTTGTCACATCAAAAATTGTTGCACATATGATGCACTCTTGTGAATTTTGTGAAAGGTAATTTTGTGCTATAAGATATTTTGACTCTGCTGCTTTTAAGTACCACGCAAATGCTTTTTGTTCATCTTTTTGTGTTCCTTTTCCATTTTATAACAGAGAGCAAGATTATATTGCGCAACAATATTTTCTGACTCTGGTGCTTTCAAGAACCATTCGAATGCTTTTGGTTCATCTCTGATAGTTCCTTTTCCACTTTTGTAACAGAGTGCAAGATTATATTGCACGTTAAGTTATCCTGACTCTGCTACTTTTAAGTACTACTTGAATGCTTTTTGTTCATTTTTGATAGTTCCTTCTCCATTTTTGTAACAGAATGCAAGATTATATTACGCGTTAAGTTGTCCTGACTTTGTTACTATCAAGTAATACCAGAATGCTTTTTGTTTATCTTTGATAGTTTCTTCTCTATTTTTATAAATGAGTGCAAGCTTATATTGCATGTAAAGTTGTCCTGACTCTATTATTTTCAAGTATCACTCAAATACTTTTTGTTTATCATTGTGATAAATGTCAATTTATTATTAATTCATAATATTATTTCAACTATGTCTCTTACTATCTTAATAAAGAAAATAGAAATAGTTTGTTTTCCATATTTTTCATTTTTAATTATATTAAGTATATATAACATGATATTTCTCTATTTTTAGGAGTTTACTAAAGCCAGATAGTTTTATATAATGTCATGTAATTTATCTATATTACATAAAAAGTAATTATTAACCAAATATATTATTGGATAATAATAATAATAAAGATAAAAATCAAATAATTATAGCAAATACAGAATATTAATGATAATTAAGAAAATAAAAATAATTATTATAGCAAATATATAATAATAGTTATAATACATGTATTCCAATTCAAGATGCTCTTTAATTTCTGTATGCTACTATTACCATAGAATTTTCTAGGATACGCAACTAATCTAACATAACATACGTTTAATTTTTTCCTTTATAAAGATTAGGTCTAGATAATTTTCACTAACATCTCTAAGCTTTTTTAATACTTTTTATTACATTATAACTCAAGAGATAAGAGAATGACTCTTAATGCTCAAAATATCATATCGTTATATCAAATAGTCTTTAACATATTACAATGCGTATTATTATACCTCAAATAAATTTCAACTGTTTTTTTGCATTTTTTCGAATGCATTTTGCTTTATATATAAAGCGTCTATTCGGAAAACTCTTTCATTTGTGCTTAGAAGTCTAAAAAAAGTTTCTGCGAGTAATTCATTCAGGAGAAAAGCCTATCAAACTCTACTAAAAATTGTTGATGAAATTGATTCAAATAGCATTAGATGTATCTGTCCCTTGCCTTTATTAATCAATAATTCTCTCTGGCGTCGAATTAATCAGCCTTTCGCTGCTTCCCAAAGTGGATTTGTTGCGTTTCCACAAATCAATTTTACTTACAAGTGGGCCTTGAAGATTTCGCATATGTTTATCAACTTCGTTCCACAAAGTTTAAATTTGGTTTAAGTCTAGCGACTGATGAGCCAATCAAATTAAGTAATGTCTAGTTTGGAGTATCTGGCTAGAAGATAAATTCACTACCTTCCAGGATGTTTTCATAGATTGTGACTAAAAATCATTATTAATTATATCGACGTAGACATCAGCGTTCATCTTACGTAAACTTTTTGGAGAACTCCCTCCTTTGGCAGGTATGGCAACCCAAATCTTAATAGAGTCATGGGTTTGGATATTTCGTACAAAAAGAATCTTTAGTATTTTGTAATTGATATAAAAAAATAAAATGCAAATACATAACTTGAATTCTAAAACTAATTTATTACTGTTTTATCATGCCACACAGCGGAAATAAAATCGCAACTATTGATTTGATTAGCCAGCCAATTCATCCGATCTAAACCCAATTGGAAACTTGTTTATGACAATATATAAATTTTTTTAAATAAAATAAATCGTAAATTTATAAAACTGTGCGGTACTTTTGAGGAACAATTCTTCAATGGCGAGAGAATCACTATACATAGGTAAGATAAATGTAAATTACAGTCAGGAATTGATTTAACGGTTCAAGAAATACCATAGTACGTTGTCCATATTATCCCGGATATACTTATATGTGAGCATTGTACTTAATACATTAAAATACATTAAAATCTTAACTATGCTATGTAAAGTGCCTTTTACACTAACTTGAAAAAATATTAATTTGAAAGAGTAATATTTTCTTAATTAATCCATTTTTTAATTAAGCTATTTATAAAAGTTAATGAATAATTTTCCAAATTACAGAATTTAAATTATGAGTCTGAGCCTTTAAAGATAAGAAATTTAAGCTTTTATATTTACGTTTATAAATAATTAATAAAATTCATTAAATAATTAATTAAATTAATTTTTAGGACTGTTTATACCTTTCGGATTATACCATCCCTGCCTCAAACATCGTTTTAGAACAATTGTGATAATTAGGGTCTTCTAGGTTAGTTATTTAAAATTATCTCACATGTATATTTAATATTTAAATTACAAATTATATATATATGCGCTATACTATTAGCATTTGTTTACTTTACAAAAGTTGCTTCAAGTTGTTGGGATACTATGCATAGGAAAGTAATATAGTCGGCATTCTATTAATGGTTACCGTTAAGTTGAGGAAAGATCGTTAATCGGTCTATTCATTCAAATTTTCAAGTTTTCATAATGAACTATTCCAATTAAAAAATAATAAAGTCTAAGTTTTTCCTTAACGTACATATTAGTTTAAATTTACAATCTCTAATAACACAGTTTTATAAAGAAATTATTTTTAAGTATATAAAACTAATTTTTTTCAAAATATTTTTTAATTTCAATTTAATTTACTACATGTATATATAATTTCTTAATTTGAGCAATTCGCACAAGATTGCCCAAACAGATTTACCCACAATTCTGGTTTTTTGGATAGTAGGGTTAGAAGGAACAAAAGAAAGCCCACAAAAAGTCCACAAAGTGAATACCAAACACCAAGTATATAATCAACAACCTTATTTTTTTCGCCCACCAAGTGGTGAATGTATCCGAGGAAACTGTTGAACGACCATAAGGCGCAAATTACTGAGATATATTTGCTCCGACAAAAAAATCCAGTAGGCGGTGTAGAGTATGCCAGGATTATTGTCGTCCAAGGGACTGTTATTGACGCTATAGCAGTGATGACAACGCGGATATGTATGGATTCTTTATCTTGAATATGATCAAACTCCCTCACATATATTATATTGTCTCCTAACCTTTTATTAGGATCTCTGACTAGTAGTCTTCCATGGATGATTCTTCTATAGATTGCTGGCAATGTCCAAGCTAATAATAATGGTATATATGGCCAATCCTCACAGACAACCGGTCCAAACACCCTTGCTATTGCGGCAATTATACCCACAGATATGTAGTACGCCGCCACTAACGACGAGAATCGCTCCAACACGGAGGCATTTGCTACGCATTCATCCAGTCCTTGTAGCACGCGTGCATTCGCTTCGAGTTCTCGAACAAATCTCTGGTTGAACTCGGGCATAATTAACAACATGGCATGATGTCCAACAGGTTTGTACGGGATTTCTTTTATAATTGTACTATTATCATGTCTATCTATTTCCACCCCTCTAAAACAACGTTTTGGGAGCCAGAATATTGCTGTTTCGTCACTCGGTATGTTACATGTATAGAATAATCCTATAAATGGACAACCAAGACATCGGAATACCCACATTATTTTTTGAAAAAAATCCTCCATAGGTGCTGCTCCTATGGTTGCTATAGCTGGTAGGCTGCCTAAGACATATTGTGGTACCGGGTTTAATAAATTCCTAACAAAATCTAGCAATTGTCGGTTTATTATCGTTGATGATGACATTTTGCTAGAAAGAAAATAAAAGAAAACCCTTGTATTTTAGATACGTTCTCGTTATATAATACGAAAAACTCGTTTTATTCTGTATGCGTACACATCTTGCTTTTCATATGGTCTCAATAGCTCGTATATAGCAATTGATTATCAATTTTTCTAGTGTGCGACTAACCAGCCTACATACTTCTATTTTTTATTTATTTAATTTATGTATCGACATTGATATGAAACTTTTGATATGAAACTTTTTGATAACTGTGTTCAATCTTATAAAAGAAAATACATTTTTATTGTTATTGTGAGCACAATCTGTCTAACACGCAATGATTTAACTTTGAACCGTATCGAGCAAAAAATTTGTAAAAAGTTGCACACTTTATTAATCATAATTTATATGATGACGTTCTAATTTATACATGTAGAAAAACTCGTTTTCTTTCTTACAAAAACTGTCTCCTCGCAACTAAATATGACATTTTTTACTAATTTCTAAAGAATTGGTTCGCTATTAAAGACTGGTTTGGATGGGTTTTAATATTGAGAAATCAATGACTAACAATGCAAAGCTTTGTAAGAATACATAAACACAATTTTGTTTTTTTATACAAACTTATGTTGAAAGTAATTTTGTTGCTTAGATTTTGAATTACAAAGTATAAACTCGATATAACGGATATTTGATATAATGAGTATAACGATACGATAACAGATTTTTTGAACTTTTACGTTATACATGCACAATATCGATTTTATACCCGATTTAGCGCATACAGGACAGACATTACTTTTTTGTGTTGACTCTAATTAAAATACATGTAGCCATCGTTAAAATCAAGATATGACTAATGTCATTAGAGTTGTCAATCAACACAATCGCTATTTGATCAATGGGTTGCAATTAATCGATTATAATTGATATTAACGATAATGCACATTATTTATTATTCACGTTATTTATTGTTATACATTATCGCTATTAGGTTAGATAAAATTATAATACATGTACATGATGCTTGTTAATTTCTTCAATACATAAATTTGTTAATATAACTGTTAAAAAAATGATTTTGATACGAAAAAGTACTTGTGCTATTTAGAATTGAAGTCTTGCCAAAGTTAAAAATATTTTTCACATCTTGGTTAATAGGTAGGATATTACTGTCATTTCTTTTATTTGATGATCTAACACGTTTCCAATATAATGCTGTCATTTTATGTTCTTTGAAATAATTTAATTTCTAAAATATTGTTAACTCATCATTGTATTATTATTTTTTTGAGTTAACTTTGATCTTTAGCATCTTTTCTTTCAATATTAAATTCTTGTTATATATTTCTGCTAATGTATAATAAACAAATAAGCGAAAATTATGATATAATTATGAACAATTAATATAATAATTCATTATGTTTGAAACAAAAAAACTAACAATATTATTAGAACCTAGATATATTCAGTATGATTTTAATTAATGTGATATGATTTGCATTGAAACAAAAGTACTTTTATCAGCTAGAATTAAAATTAATTTTTGGTAAAGATTCAATATTGCAAACTGCATTTAATTGAGTTTATTATCTTTTGTTTTCATCTTCTTTCTAGTTCAAGACACTCTTTAATTTATAAGAGCTATAATATTCTAAATGCAAAATACATGTACACTCGATAGACAAAAGTTTGGAATTGGAAATGATTGTATATCAATCATTTCCAATTCTAAACTTTTGTCTATCGAGTGTATATGTATTTTGTTTCAATTTCTCTTTTATATTCTAAATATGTAATGATAAGATATAGATCACGATGTCACTCATTCTGTTGCACTATCAAACATAATCATTCCAAATTATAAAACTCTGCAGCTTCGGTATATGACTTTTATTTGGCATCTCTGTCAAATATAAGGAAATACTATATAAATTTCTTGATTATGCTATTTTTATAATAAATTACTGCTTGTATCATTAGCAATAATTAAGTACATGAAGTTCTGCTTCAATTTATATTATTAAATTATTCCATAATAATATATAAAATCATTTATGTAACTAAAATAGCTTGAAACATTTAAAATATATAATGAGATAACTTTAAAAATTGTTTCAAAATCTCCTATTCAATATTAATAATAACTAAAGAATCTCTTGAATAAAGTCAATAAAATTTTTAACTAATATAAAAAAGTTAAAAATAATTTTAGAGTAAAATCTTAATAAAAATAAGACAAGAAAAAAAAAATATTTAAAATATGTCAAAAAAATTAAAATAATTAATATATTTTTCTAGTTAATTTTAAATAATATTAGTTTCATATAAAAGATAATACTATATACGTATTTTAAAAAATTAATTAATAATAACTTGGTTAAAAAATTTATAGAAATAATAAAATTTACACTTATAATTATTTATATCTTTTAAGTATTTATTAATTTAAATAATTATTATTAAATAGAAAGAGCAAAATAGATATCAGTTATCAAATTATAAAAACTATATAGAATAAAAACAATTATATAACTTAATATATTTAAAATTAATAAAGTTCTTTTATATAAATAAAAATACTTTTATCTATTATCAAGAAAGATATATAAAATTCAAGTTTACTAAATAATAAAAACTTTAATTTTATTATTATAATTATACTTTATAATTTTTAATAAAGATATACTCTCTTAATAATCTAAAAATATATATTAAAACTATATTATTTTAAAAAAAGTATAAAAGAATTTGAATATAATATATTAGATATTATAATAAATCTCAGATCAAATTAGAAAAAAAATTATTCAAGTAATATATAATAAATATTATTTTTATATATTGTAAATAATAATTAGTAAAAGATCCAAATTTAAAATAATAAAAATTTGAAATATATATAAAGTATTTTATTATAATTTTAGTCTTTTTATTCTTATTATAAACTATTATGATTATTCAAATAATAATTACAAAAAAATTTGTATATAGAAGTTTTTGTTTTTTATTCTATTCAGAAAAATAAATACTGATAATTAAAATATATATTAAAATAAATTTAGGATCTTTTCTTAATATAAATTAAATTTTTGAACTAATTATTTTTTAAATATAGCTAGTTTATTAATTAATATTAATATTTGAGATATTATATATCAGATATATTAATATTTTTTTAATTAATTAATAAATTATAATATTATTGTAATAATTTTGATTGGGTTATCTCTCTTTAGATCTCTTTTAGCTTAGATCTTTATTTTGCGCTATCTATATAACAGATTAGCTTTGTATTATATTTCTAAGAAGATCAATTTCACTCTGAATATACAGATAATTATTATATATTTAATACATCTAGATTTAGCACATTATTATTCAGATAATCATCATGTGTATTATAATTATTAATTTAAATTATTAATGTTTTTAATTACTTTTATTATTAATATTTCTTTATAATTTTATTCATTCTTCTTATTATTATATTTAT